GCGCGGGCGGGTGCAGGGGCCCGGTGGCGGGGCGCTGACCGCGGGTCCCCCGTCTCCCCGCAGCAGGTGCCCGGGCGCGTGCAGCGAGTGGCATGAACCTGGAGGGCGGCGAGTGCGGCATGACCTCGGTGAGCTGCGGCAACGGGAAGCTCCGGCAGTGGCTGATCGACCAGATCGACAGCGGCAAGTACCCGGGGCTGGTGTGGGAGAACGACGAGAAGAGCATCTTCCGCATCCCCTGGAAGCACGCCGGCAAGCAGGACTACAACCGCGAGGAGGACGCCGCCCTCTTCAAGGTAGGCCTGGGGCAGGCGGTCCCCGGGGCCAGCGGGGCTGCTAGGGGGCTGGGAGGGACCCCTCCGCTCCCCTCCCCTCCTTCCTCGCCCCTCCCTGGGGGCTAATGTGTCCAGGTCCCCTCTGGAGCCGCCCTGGGGCTCACAGGTGGGTAGCCACCTCTCCTTGGCAGCGCCTCAGGCTGGCCTAATGCCCCAGCCCAGCCACTGTCCCCTGCCACCAGCACCTTCCCGTGTCCTGTGCCCAGTTCTCCCAGATCCCACCCTCCCGTGGGGACTGCTTTGCCACCGACCCCATCAGGAGCAGGACCCAGCCTGGCGGGGGGCGGGGCTTTCAAAGCATGCCTGGCTGGTTGCTGCCCCAGTGGGAGTGCTTGCCACAGGACCAGATTGGGGGGGGGGGGCTTTTTTTCCTTCATTAACAAGGGTTTCCAGATGGTGCATCTTCCCCCCTCACCCCTCAGGCCATTCTGTGCTACAGACTTGTTCAGCTGCTGAACAGGTCTGTCAGCATCTATCTGCCTTGTAGCTTTTTCCTTCCTTGGCTGTCACATCCCCCTGCCCCCTTTCTAAACTGCTTTCATCCACAAGAAGCCATCTCAGGTGTATTTTCACATACATCTATAAGGAGAAAGTTCTCTGTCTCTCTCTGACTCACTCACTCACATGCCATCTCTTACACACTCAGTCTCAGATGCACACACACATGCACACTCAGTTTCTTACCCACATACTCTATTTCTCACACCCACACACACACACTGGCACTTTCAGTCATGCACATGCACACTCATACAGAGTCGCATGCAAACACACTCATACTGACCCTCACTCATGCACACACACACTCATTCACACACACACTCACACACATCCACACTCACTGACATTCATGTATACACACACTCTTACTCACATACACACACATGCACTCACACTGACGCTGTCACTCATGCACGCACACTTATTCACACACACGCTGACACTGACATTCATGCATATGCACTCACACATACATGCACACACACTCACACTGACACTCTTACTCATGCGTGCGCACACTTTTAAATTTTTGCAGTATTATACCACATCCTTTGATTTCTCCTTCCTTTCCTCCCCTGTGTGATTGTTTGAAATGTCTTCAGGCTTGGGCGCTTTTTAAAGGAAAGTTCCGAGAGGGCATTGATAAACCAGACCCCCCAACCTGGAAGACAAGGTTACGGTGTGCATTGAACAAGAGCAATGACTTTGAAGAACTGGTTGAGAGAAGCCAGCTGGATATCTCAGATCCATATAAAGTGTACAGAATTGTGCCAGAAGGAGCTAAAAAAGGTAATCACAGATTTTCTATATCTGTACCTATATGTTAAAGATCCTTCCAGTCTCATGGCCCATCTGGTTAACATGCCTGGTTCTGTAGCCAGTAGAATTGGAGGTAGTTGGCAGGGTAGAGTTGCACTTAGTAACTACTTAACTCAGAGATGCATAAGCTTTTGTAAGCAACAGCTTGCTTTGTCAGGTGTGGATGAAGCAAGCTGTTTGCTGCTTATGAAAGTGTATGCATCTCTGATTTAGTTACCTCTAAGGCCTTCTGTCTGACTTTAGACTAACAGCTAACTACTTTTCTCTTCTCCTTTGAGGTAGTTACCATACATCCAACTACCTTTGATTCCCCAGCCTGAATAACCTGGTACCCATTTCCAGCTAGGTTAATTAGGGAGTGGCTCTTGGCATAAGCCTAGAGTGGGGCTCAAACTCAAAATTCTGGAGCTGTAGTAAGGCAACACAACATGAAACATTTTAACTGCTCTTTGGGGATAGAAAGCAAAGAAGCAAGCCAGCATGTGTGTGTGTAGGTCTTACTTCTCACAATCAAGAAATGAAGAGATGATCAATGTGTTTTACATCACTCCAGTGTCATGTTTCTGAAGTAACCACATAGTCACTCTGATGTCCAACTTTGTAGGAATCATTACAATAGCAAGATGGGCAGTTTGCAAACTTCTCTTATTCAGAGGGTTTAAACTAGAGGTTTTGTCTGAACAAGGACACCAGGAATTTGAGTCGCACAGCATTTTAAAAACTGTCTCTTGGTTGGAGGGATGGGCTGTCTGTAAACCACTGGAGGAGCATAACCTTTTGTATAGACAATACAGTTCAGTTTGAAGCATGGGGAAGCCTACCTTAGGCAGCCAGCTGATGGACAGACAAAAAAGAGTTGCTTATTGGAAGTGGGTTTTAAATAAAGGTGGAACAGAACAGCCTGTGCTCACCTGCTTTGGGGTGAGTGCCCCCTGAAGTCCTGCACAGGGGACAGGTACAGTCACAGTCTGGGATTTCATGAGCTTGGGACTGCTCTCCAGCTCTTGGACATACCCCACATGTACACTTGCTGTCAGAGTGCATGGGGGCTTGTGTGAGTAGCAGGTGCTCTTCCTGTGTGCACCAGACGGTTCTGGGGGATAGAATCCCTGCCAATGTCTCCAGGGACAGGATGGCTGTGCATCATCTCCATATGGGCTAGTGTCTACAGGACACATTTGAGCCCATAACTTTAGGGTGCTCCGTGCAGAGAGGAAGTTCCTAGTTACAGGTGCTTTCTTGCACCAGTGTCTCAACAGTAGGTCACTTTATGTTTTCTCATGCTAGAGTTCATGGCTTTCTTATACCCTGATTGTGTACATAGGGGCAAAACAACTCAGCATGGAAGATCAGCCATTAATGATGAACCATCCTTTCCCAATGACTTCTCCTTACACTTCACTACAGCCTCAGGTACAGTATCACTCACACTTTTTATTTTAAACAAACACATTAGATGCCAGTGAAGATAATTTTTTGCAGTACCTAGCTTTCTATCCTGGCTTACTAGTGTTTAACTATGCTTGGGAAAATACCTTTTCGGAAATGGAGAAATTTGGCAGCAGTGGCTTTTATCATGTGAAACCACGGGGCTGTGGATCTATCTTGGCTTCTCTAAAATCTGAATCGCAGCTCTGTTTTGGTTGGTAATTGACATTTGTGTTGCTGTTCTACTACTGGGGCCACGGTTTTTAAACATGTGATGGAACAGTGCTAGGTTTATGGCTAGAGGGCCATGGCCCCTCCACTCAGGGTTAGACCAATCACCATATTTGGGGTCAGGAAGGAATTTTACCCATGGTGAGATTGGTACAGACTGTGGGGGTCTTTGTCTTCTTCTGTAGTGGGCAGGCATGGCCCCTTTGGATCTCTTAAGAATCTTTTAACAACCTTGCAGCAGCAGGACATTGACTGTCATAGCCCCCCTGCTTTACCTGTGGCAGGTTAGGGTGTTATGTCCTGTGGTTTTGTCAAGGTTGACTGTGTAGTTTTGCTAATAGGTTAGACAACAGATTTTTATGGGATGGTCTGGATAAGGATGATCCTAGCTCTGGCAGGAGGTTGGGCTAGATGACCTCCAGCCCAACTTCTCTATGATTCTATTCTAAATTAGTGGTTTCCAGCCATGCTCTGATTAGATTTTAAAATAATTTCAGCATGGGTTTTGTTTAGGCCAGTGGTGACAAGCAGCTCAGGTGAGAGCCTCTTTCTGGCAGCAAACCATTATTCCTGTCTCTGTGATAACAGGGTCTGACAGAGCTTTGGAAGCACAGATGACAAAAGGTCTCAAATAGGAGAAACAGTGTAACAAAGCAAATATAATGATGATATAATTCTGATATAAGCAAATAAAATAATGTCTTGTTAAACTGAACAGGTGTCAAACTACATGCTGCCTCATGAACGGAACTGGAGAGAGTTTGCCCCAGAACAGCACCCTGACATTCCCTACCAGTGCAGTGGTGTTCCTTTTGCCACACGTGGTCACCCCTGGCAAGGTCCTGCCTGTGAAAGTGGTAAGAACAGTTTACTTGAGGTCAATTGTATACACCAGTGGTGCTCAACCTATTGGCCCTGTGCACAGGCCCATCTGTTGGCTGTGGTGCCCAGCACTGGCCTCTCCTACTCCTGCACTCGGGAACTGGGTCCTGGCACTGCTTCCCTGCATCCCCTGCACACTGGCATTAGGCCCTGGGGACCTGGCACCATTCTCTCTTGCTCTCTGCCTGACAGAACTGGGTCCCGAGGGCCCAGCGCCAACCCACCCAGCCCTGTGAACTGGGATCAGGCTCTGGGTCCAGCATGCAGGGTCTGGGGTTCCCCATGGGTCCAGAAATTTGGCAGTAGGGGAGGGGTGCCACTACACCAACAATTTCCAGACTTCTGGGAAACCTTGTGGGCCAAATCTGGCCCTCAGGCCAGAGATTAAGCACCCCTGATATATACTGATCTACAGAGATAAGAATTGACTGCCATAAATGAACAACCAGCTTTCTATATCTGAGTTGTGGCTCCTCTACAATTTACATTGATAGCTTTATTTTCCAAAGACTGAGCTTTCTTGGATGGCAGCTGTGGGTTAAGGGCACCTCTGAAAAATCCCGTCATACACTTCCATATCCCTTATTACCAATAGGTGCATCTACATGAGTGGCTGAATAACACTGCGCAGTAGCACATCACAGCACAAACAGTGCTAATAAAATACTGTGTAGTAGTACTGCACAGGAGTGTCACTAAAAAAGCGTTCACCAATGCTACTGCACAGTAACTGCAGTTACTACACATTTATGTAGTGGTTATTATACAAGTACTACATACATGTGCAGTAACCACTGTGTAGTAGTGTCTCCTGTAGATGCACCAACAGTGTGTTATATTGCCAATCCTGTGCCTTCAGGTATTTTCAGTATTATAAAGTCATAATACTGTCTTTAAAAGCAAGAGGGATTTCTTTTTTTAAACAGCAACATGTTTTCTTAATTTTCTTCTTGAGTCTTTTGTGGTTCACATTTTTTCAAATCTAAACCGTGGTTTTTGTTTCTAAGTGAAAGCTGAGATTATTATTTTTTTGTGACTTGGGCACACAGGAGCCCTAGTCACAGATTACACTCAGTGTCAGGCTCTGTACAGATATAGAACAAAAGGACAGTCTCTACCCTGAAGAACTTACAGTTTGAGAGTCTAACAAAATTGCAGCATTTCAGGATCAGGAAAATATTAAACACTGTGAAAGGTGGAAACTTCTGTGAGCCTTGAAAATAAGTGAGGTAGAAAAATAAAGATTCCCACCCCTTATGAGGAACAGAGGCAAAGAACGTAGGTGATGTGTCCAGGATTGTACAGGAAATCAGTAGGGCAAAGGAAGTTGCAGCTCAGGTTGGGTTTAGTTCCTTAATCGTGTGACTATTCATTGTGCTATGAATGAGTGCAGGGTTAGACTCCTAGGCTGTGTCCACATACAGTATGTTCAGGTGTTCTTTGCACTGCAAGGGAGCAGCACAGGGGTTTAAAAAAAATCTGCAAAAATAAAAGCAGTGTGGCGGATATAGGGGCTGCTCAAAAGTGGAGTTTAGCCAGTTGGATTCCAGATAAGTCTGGCACCAGCCTCTGTTACTCCACCCGGGGTAACTTGCCATGCAACAGAGTGTGAATGGCATAGGCATTCCCCATGGACAATTAGCAGAGGCACAAGATGCGTCGCTGCTAGTTGTCCATGGAGAACCAAACATCCATGCACATGTGGATGTGGCTCTACTGCATATGCGCTTATCTTGGTATATTTGTTTCACAAGTAAAACTCCCTCCACATTCAGATGTGGAGGTATTCAAGGGTAGAAGTCCTTGGACCAGATGAGATGAAGGTGAAAGAATATTTAAAACACATAAGATGTAACCTCTTCAGAAGAAGAAGTGATTGCATGGTTTCAGTACTGTGAAATAAACTTCTAATTGCACTTGTCTACTGAAAGTTAAACATGCTTCATGTGGCAGCTTATACAGTTAAGATACAATTGAGTTATTTAGCCAAAATTTTGTATACATTTCTGTCCAAATTACTCCCCATACAAAAGGTATCTCAGTAGGATCATTAAAAAGTCCAATCTGGTTTTGGTCTGAAGATTTTGGTCTTTTTTATTGAACTCAGGCTAACAGAAATATTTATTTTGAAATGAACTGTGTTCTATGGTCTTGGTAATAGACGCTATATACTATGCTAAGATGTGTAGACAATAAAAGAAAGCCAAGATGTTTCTACATCTAAAAAGACTAAGTCAAGTATTGCCAGGGATGTAATTTTGAGAAAAGAGAAATCACAAAAGTGTACTGTGTAATCCCCTGCCTCTCCAGTACTTTATTCACCTAGTGAAATTGTATGCCTAGTGAAGGTGGATTCAGGGGGTGGGGAGGGAGTGGGTACAATAGTGCAGGCACAGCCCCCTTTGATTCCTGGTCCTCCCAGAAGTTTAGAGCCAATTGCCTGGCAATGGCACCATTTCTAGTCAGGTAGCAGTGAGGGAATCAAGTGACTTCCTGGCTTATTATAATCTACCTGGTTCCTTCTAAATTCTTGATTCTACAATGACCCTCTTCTTTTAATGGTCTTTGATGGTCTTCCACTAATCAAGCTATGCTTTCTTCTGTAATTCTTCTATTAGCTGCTTCTGTAAATGTAGTTCCTATTTTACAACCCTGCAGACTCTAGCTAGAAACATTAACTCGGGTGTGGAAATAACATTTGGCAAAGCAATGGATGCACTGTCAAGATGCTCAAGAAAGTGAGATTTTGCTTTATGAATCTGAAAAAGAGATGTCCATTTTATTCTAATGACTAGAAAAACATCTTTTGATGATTTGCCTAGTTTGTTGGGTTGTTATACAAATTTGCAATCTAGCAAATTAACACCTGTTCCAATAAAGACTTTTTCCTTCTGCTTCAATTGTAAATGGAATGATATACCCCTGGGCCCCTTGTATATTGGTAAAGTTTCTAGTTTCTTTTTCACTGGAGAAAAATGGGTGTTGCATTATTTGGTGATAAACTACAGCATCTGCATCCCCCTTTTCAAAATCCTAGATCTGCCCATGGTTGTAGATGATGAGAGGAAAAACCCATGCCAAAATTGATAGATAAAGAACAAGTCATAGGGAAACTGAAATCCTAAAAGAATAGCATATACAATTCCAAATAAGAAAATCTAGATACAGTCTTCTTAAGATGTTATAATTAAGTTGCTCCGGGCAGGAGAAAATAGTTTGGTGGGTTTTTTTACATGCTCAATTTCTTGTCCATAGTTGTGAACTCCTGTTGAAATTTTCTCTTGGGTTTTTAGGTAGTTAGACATCATCTGCTTTTTGTTTCTGAAAACAGGTTGTCAGGTGACTGGAACCTTTTATGCTTGTGCACCACCTGAGTCGCAGGCTCCAGGAATTCCAATAGAGCCAAGCATAAGGTCTGCTGAAGCTCTTGCCTTGTCAGGTAAGTCTATGCAACTCTGAACCATACAAAAGGTTCTTCCTAGAACTTTCTCAAGTCAATATTTCTCCCTGTTAAGAGGACCTTTCTTCAAGAGTGAACTGAAGCTCTTTGCCTGATGATTCCTTAAACTTAGGCCTCCTTTCAGCAAGATATTCAAAACATCTGGATAACTGTAAGCATGTGAATAGCCTCCCTAAGATATTGGATTTGGACTGAGATCACTGGGACCATGCACATGCTTAAGATTATTTATGTTTTAAGTATATTGCTGTAGCAGGGCCTTTCTTCAGCCATCAAATAGGAAAATGGCTGACAGAGGTTAATTCTTCTTTAGTTCACTATTCAGCCCTGTTCCTTTCGGATTCAAAGGCCTGGGGTTCTAAATTAAAAAAAAAAAAGTACATTTTGTCCTGATCAGATATATATGATCATTATGCTGGAGATGCCACTTGTTCTCTATGAAAATAAAATCTTTGGGCAGTTTTGTAGACATGCAGACTCAAGGGTGAGGAATTTTTTTACTCCCTTTTTTCTTTTTTTACATTAACAACAGAAAGATACAATACTAATGGATGAAACATTGTTTGCATATAGAGAGTTAAATATGTTCTGAAGAGCCCTCAAAGAGCTGGGTAGCTTTTCTGGATCAGCCTTATACGCATAAGATTGTATGGGTTCGTTGCAAGGCTGAACCTTTAACAATCAGTCTTCTCTACTGAACCACTTTACCACAGTGCCTAAGATTTCAAATGCAATTTTGTTTTAAAGTTAAGGGAAGGCCAATTCTATAAAGCAACGAACTGCATTTTTCCAAAACCCCTAAGTGGTTGCTTCAGATGGTTATATGCAAAATCTGGAGAGAAACACTAGCTTTTTCCTTATAACATCTATAGAAATTTGCTGAGATTACGGGTTAATTCTTATATAACTTGTGAAGAAAGAACCCCTTTTTTTTTTCCATTCATGAAAAAGCCAGGCATTAATCTTTACCATATTTTAGACTGTCTGCATGGAGGACTACTGGATTTGTCACTCCAGTGGCACCGGTTGGTAGAAGCTGGCGTTGGAATCTGTGTTTCCTTATACAACCTGCTTTAATATTTAAATTCAGTGTATATTCTTTTGCTAATCTGAGGCTAAATTCTGGGAGGTGCTGAATGTTAGGAATGGCAGGTGCTCAGGACCTTGTAAGATGTGGCCTATTAGCATGAATAGTATTGCTCTGTAATGTATTTATAACACTGTATTGCAGTAAAATTTTTCCTTTCTAAAACTGTATTTGCAGACTGTCGACTCCACATCTGTTTATATTACCGTGAAACACTAGTAAAAGAGGTGACGACTTCAAGTCCTGAAGGCTGTATGATATCACATGGCCAAAATTATGAGGCCAGTGGCCTGGATCAAGTTATCTTCCCTTACCCAGAGGACAACGCCCAGAGGAAAAACATAGAAAAATTATTGAATCACTTGGAACGGGGAGTGATACTGAGGATGGCGCCTGATGGGCTTTATGCTAAGAGACTTTGTCAGAGCAGAATCTACTGGGATGGGCCTCTGGCACTATGCAGTGACAGGCCCAACAAACTGGAAAGAGAGCAGACATCCAAGCTGTTTGATACCCAGCAGTTTTTAGCAGGTAATTCTCAACCTAGGTTCTATACTGTCTTTGCAAATGTCACCGGCCTGCTGTCAGGAAGTTTCCAGAGCAAGAGCTTTTTCAGTTTACAGCAGCCAACAAAGTCAAGCATGGGGAGATGCAGGTGCTCAGCAGGCATTTGGTCCTAAATGTCTGGGCTAAATGAGTACAGGGAAGGGTAGTGTTCAACTGGTGCAGAACCATGCCAGTGATGCTTTCAATGCACAGAGATGGCTCTTGTTGAGAGCAATGGGAACTACTCATGCTCACTCAAGGATGCTGTAAGGTTCCTGTCATTTTATACTGGGTAGAGGGAACCCAGTGAAACATCCTTTCCCAATATGGAGGAGCAGAGGGGAGTGGATTCTGATCTCAGATAGGTTAGTGTAAGCCTTGAGTAACCCTATAGTTCAAAGTCACATGACTCCAGGGTGAGCCTGAAGCTGGGCCCAAAGTATTTAAAGTATGACTCCCAACAGAAAGAGGGGAATTTTTTGGATCTGGGTTTTTTGGTGTGTGTTTAAAAAAAATACCCTGGGGCATATTTGTGAGGTGATTTTAGAAACTCTGTCTTTCCCATCTTTCTGGGATAGGGTGGGACTGTCAGGTCAGATGAAAGGTCAGATGAAAAGACCGTAATGAAAGGTCAGATGCCTGGAGAATGAATAATGAGGTAGAACACATGTGTTTACCTCCCCTGTGTTGGTTTTCTCCTTTATAGGCAGTAGTATGGAGAGGGGAACAGTCTCCACAGGGTAGCTCCTTCTTCTCCTGCACAGTGGAAGGAGGGCCCAGAAGTCAAGGGTTAGAGGCTTAGCCTCTACTTTCCAAGAGCAGGCACTGTGAGGAGAGTAGCCTGCTCCGCATAATGTGGCTGGAACAGATTATTTCCCATTGAGGACAAGGGTGCAACTATAGCAGCCACAAATAGTGTTGTCCCTCTCTTAGGACTGGGCTGAACCAAAGGAAGACTCTGGAGCTGTAGAATGGCCTAGTCTTCCATCAGGTCAGAGCATTTCAGACACAGGGACCCGT